AGGCTTATTGTACTATACTTACTGATGTATACTTAAGTTATTTTACAACTTTACTGTCATTAGCTGAATAGCAAGTATTAATACATATTAATTGAAATCCTTAGAACTGACCAAACTTACCCCACACAAAATCCTTAATATCCCAGTAGTCTGCCTTACAGAAATCTATGCCCACAAAGACAGGAAAAAAGGGAAAGGCAGATCCATGCAGTATTTCCACGTTGTCAAAAGACCAAAGGCCGACACAAAAGAAGAGATTGCAAAAAAGATAAAGAGGCTGAAATCAATGTCCGGAAAACCTAGCTAAGGATCCTAAATGGCCCAACTTAACTAACTTCAGCACTGCCACATCAAGAATGGGGCAAATAGCACCTAGTGGACTTTTTTTTTAAATAAATAAATAATGATCCAGTTCCTACCACAGGCAATTATGATAAGACTGAGTATAAGTTCTAACAACAAATAGTGTACAAATCATAATTTTTACTTGATTCAAACTGCTTCTTCTATAAAATTTGAATCTTTCTATTCTTAAGACAGATTTGTGGCATATGACCTAGTGATAAAATTTTCAACTGGCTTGTATTAAAAAAGTTCAACGCAGTGAAAGTTTATTACATCAACTATTCCTTTTTGGGAAACCCATGTGCCTTGTCACTCTCTTTCATAAAATTTCCTATGGAAAATTCAATCCTTCATTCAGGAAAAGTCTGAGCAATATATCTCATGGAAAACCTTCATAAACTGCAACACAAGAAAATGAAAATGACAGTGAGCAGCCCGTGAAATCTGCAGACACACACAGTGCATGGCTGTATTCCAGCCTCGACTTTCTGTAACCAGCAGGGAAAATGTGCATTTCAAGAAATAGACATAAACACTTTTCAGGACCTGAGCACACAATTTCCCTTTCAGGGTTTAGTGGGCTTCCATTTAATTCTATGAGAAATGTTTAAAACAACAGAACAACAGCTAAAATAGGGTTTAAAGTAAATTTTATGTCTAAATAAAAATAAAGCCAGCTGATAGTTATCATATTTACTTTATTTGATCTCACTCTCTTACTTTACCTCCCCAACCTCCTCCACAAAATGATGGTGAATGTCCCCTACTGGGTCAGAAGGCTAAGTAGAAAGTACCAATCACATGGAGGTGTGATTTGTTGTTTTATTTTTCAAAAGAAACAAGTTTCATTCATGTGATTTAATAATTAAAATCAGAAACAAAGTCTACTCAATAAATGTTAGCCAACACATGTCATCATAGCTGCTCATCAGGTTTGGCCCACTCTACACACTTTTACATGGACATGTGCCATGTGCTGTCATGGGGAATGGTGAGTGGGGACAGGGACACTGGTCTCACAGGGCACACAGCCTGGTAGGGGAGGCGGGGTTCAATCATTGCCCCTTTTTTTAATGTACTTACAAATTATGGGGAATGCTATTTAAAAAGAACAAAATGAGTTAATGAAAGTGAAAAATACAAGGACAGTATTTAGGCTGAGGGAAGACAGGGAACCTCTTTGAAGAGCTGACACTCCACTGAGACCCAAAGGACAACTCCGGTGCTGCAGGTGAAGGGCAGGGACACACTGATAAAGGGCTGATATCCAGAATATACCAAAATCTCTTTAAACTCAACAAGAAGGATGAATAACCTGATTAAAAAATGAGCAAAATGCCTGAACACACACCTCATCAAACAAGAAATCTAGATGCCAAAGAAGCCTATGGAAAGATGCTCCACAGCATCTGTTATCAAGAGGATGCATACTGAAGCAGCGAGGTACAACTGCACACCTGTCAGAACTGCCAAAACGCAGAACACTGACAGCATCGAATGCTGGTGAGGATGTGGAGCATCAGGAATTCTCATGCATTGTTGGCGGGAATGTAAAATGGCCCAGATACTTTGGAAGATGGTCTGGCAATTTTTTACAAAACTAAACGTACTCTTAACATATGATCTGGCAACTGTGCTCCTTGGTGTTTACTCGATGAAATGGAAACTTATGTCCACACACAAATCTGCATACAGATGTTAATAGCAGCTTTTTTCATAATCACCAGAACTCAGAAGCAACTAAGCTGTTCTTCAGTAGGTGAATGGATAAATAAACTGTGGTCCAGGCAGAAAATGGACTATTATTGGGTGCTAAAATGAAATGAGATATCAAGGCATGGAAAGACATGGAGGAACCTTAAATGCATATTACTAAGTGAAAGAAGCCAATCTGGGAAGTTTCTGCAACTGTGTGATTCCAACTGTATGGTGTTCTGGGAAAGGGAAAACCACAGAGACTAAAAGATCAGTGGCTTTCAGAGGTTAGAGAGGAAGGAGCAATGAATGAGTTGCAGCACGGAGCATTTTATTGTCACTAAGACAGATTACTCTGTATGATGCTGTGATGGTGGATATATGTCATTGTACATCTGCCCAAACCCACAGAGTGCACACCACCAAGTGTAAATCCTAGTGTCAAGTATGGGCTCTAGGTAATGATGACGTGTCAGTGTAGGTTCACCCATTGTCACAAATGTATGCTCTGGTGCAGGTGACAATAGTGAGGAGGCTGTGGGGACAAACTGCAGTTCATATGCCCAATCCAGCCCCAGCCACCACTGTTAATAAAGCTCTGTGGGTGTGTGGATTGTCCGGCTGCTCTGGTGTCTGAACAGCAGAGCTGAGCAGCTGCACCAGAGATCAGGAGGTTTTCAGACCCTGAAATATTCACTCCCAACCCCTTGACAGAAAAAGTCTACTGAGCCCTGTTCTACATGAATCAAAATTCACCCTGATGAGACAGGACAGCAGGGCCCAAACCAGGCATGGTTAATGGGACTGAAGCAATGTTTTAGTTCCAACACCTTTACTGAAGTCCTGCAGATCCAGCGACAGACTGTAGCCAGGAACTGTCTGCAGAAGGAGTCGGTAGCAGGCCTTCCCACCAGGCTCCAGGATGCCGGGGGCCGCGTGCTGCACGGGGGCCACCCGCTTGAAGAAGGAGTACTTGCAGTGGAAGCCGATCAACTCATAGAGCTCGGAGAGGATGCTGCACTGCTGAATTCTCTCCTCGGAATGCTTAAGAACAGGGAGAAAAGCATCAAGCATCTAAATGAAACATGTAAGTGAAAAAAGACCCGTAAAAAAGGTTTTCCCTTAAAACAGAGACCCAATGACACAGGAAGGAAGAGGAAGGCTAACTTAGTGCACTGATGGGACCGGATGCAGAAACGCAGGGAAGCAGCGCTGTGCAGATGTTCCAGACCCCCTCTGGGTCCCACCTCTTCATGTTCCAACTGTCCTTTTACTAGAAAGGCCCATATTCCCTGAAATAGAGGAATCTGCTACCTAAACATGGGACACAGAGAAGGGAAAGAGGAAAAGGAAGGGAAAGTAAAGGAACAAAATTTCATCTAGACCCTAGGGTTTGGGCAGGACCTTCACCAAACACACAACCTCTCAAAGCACAGAGCACACAGTGAGAGACTGACAGACTGACTCCGACTTCTGCTCCTTAAGCACCAGCTACCTGCCAGCACACTCTGCGCCCCTTACAGAATCATTACAATCATCTCAGAAACTATTACTACCCAGGCTCACAGGCAAGGGAATCTGAAACTCGGGGAGGAATTATTATCATCCTGGAAAAATTCCCACAGCCCAGAAGTGTCAGAGCCACAGGCAGACCATGGACTAAAATGCTCCTCATCACCACAGGCTCTGAGCCTCAGGCTGAGGCCATGTCAGGTCTGCATGGACCCAGAGCATGAGTCTGTGTGACAGGGAATGCTCCCATTTGAAGTGCCAGGCGAAGACACTCAGGAAGCTATATGATGAAACCAAATCCCCAAACTCATTTCCAACCCACTGCCCTGTCCAAGAGGACTGCTCGGCACATCTGCATTGTCACTTGTGCACAGGCTGAGCAAGGGGCCCAGACAGTGACATGACATCCCAGTGGAAGTGGCTCGGAGACCACTTCATCACAGGACAGACTCTCCCAGCTTCCAACATTAACTCTCCATTCCATTTCCAACTGGAAAGTAAGTTTAGACTTGTTTTCCTCTCCAGAAACAAAGAGAGTGGTAATATCAGCGGGAAACTCAAGAGTGAGGAAGAGTCTCGTGGCCATTTGGGAAGGATA